CTCTCATTCTCTCCCTCTCATACACGCCCACGCGCGCGCACACTCACGCTCTCTCTCTCTCTCTCTCTCTCACTCTTTCCCCATATCTCTCTATTGTATTATATAAACCGCGCTGGTCATTCGATACTTTTCTCACTCTTTCACTCTCTCTGACTCTCTCGGATGCTCACGCGCCACAAGCACGCTCTTCCTGTTCCTCTCTTTCACTCTCTCGGACGGTCACATATCACGCACACAGGCAGACAGACAGACGCACACTCTCTCTCTTTCTCTCTGTTCCTCTCTGAATTTTTCTCTGTCTCTGAATTTCTCTGAATCGAATATACATCACTGACAATAACATGGTTTCTATTCTGGCCACGGATGCGCTTATACATTTCATTGTCCGTTCGTTATTTAGGTGCCTGGAACGACCTTGCGTAAAGCGTAAACGTAGTTTCTCGCTTCAAGTGATTCGCAATGGGAATGATATATCCAACGGCTGCCACCCTCTGTTAACGATACATTTTTTTTCTTTTTTTTTCTCTTTTTGAATATACTGAGTGTTTCCAACGCTCAACGCTTCAACACTTTACACCAAGAAGAGCGGCGGTTCCCGTCATTGCGAATCGGTTGAAGCTTGTTCAGACGGCGAGACCGGACTCTCTTTAATGTCTACGGCTGGATTCTTCGCGTCGTTAACCACAGGCGCCAATCCGAGCTCCGCGTATCCGTGGATATTAACGACATAAATACAACGTACGTAGACCCCGGTGGTGGTATTTCGTTCGTTTTTTATAAATATTATAAAATAGAAATTGTGAATCCGAATTATAATTACGAACTTCACGGATGTTCTCGATCAACGCGCATCGTATTCGGGGATGCGGATGAAAAAGTTTCTTTCTTTCTGTCTTTCTTTCTTTCTTTCTTTTTTATGGCGTTCTCTCGTGGTGTGGTGGTCGATTCAGCAGTACGTGAATGATATGGTTAAATAATTATAAATTGGAAATCGTGGTGGTGACATTACCTGGGCCGTTACTCACCTACAGGCAACGAACCTGTCATGGGAGTAGGTGACGATGATACCATATTTAATCGATTCTGATCTTTCACTATTGGGACTAAAACACATAGAGGATGATGAGACTTGAATTCGTTAACAGGTATATCACGAATATTAATAATAATAACAATAATAGTAATAATATTAAGTTAAGTAGGATACTGAATGGTGTTCGTTGTACTTACAGAAATAGGGATGCTCCATAGCTTGGCGTGCGGTGAGTCTCTCGTAATGGTCATAGCGCAAAAGTTTGTCAAGGAAATCCAGGCTCTCGGCAGACACCAAATGTTGGTTTTCCGAATGCATGAAACGTTCCCAACGTTTGCGCGAATGCCGGCCTAATATGTCATTGAAACGAGGATCCAATTCGATGTGATACTTGTCAAGGTATTCAAACAATTCTTCGGTTCCGAGAACCTTTGCAATTCTAACTAACTGGTCGTAATTGTCGTGTCCGTGAAAAAACGGTTCTTTCCTGAATATCATACTCGCGAGCATGCATCCAAGAGACCACATATCTAACGAATAATCGTACATCTGCGGTATATAAAGAGCAACCGTTACTCGGCATTGTCACTAGATTATACATATACGTGTGTGTATCGAATACTGGTCAGTATTGATATCACAAACCTGGTAATCTACGAGTAGTTCTGGGCCTTTAAAATAACGTGAAGCTACTCGTACATTGTACTCTTGACCAGGATGGTAAAATTCTGCTAGACCCCAATCAATTAACCGCAATTTCCGATTTTCGTGATCTATCATAACGTTGTGCGGTTTGACATCTCTATGCATTATTCCCATACTGTGACAATAATCCAATGCCTAAGGAAACAGAATGATAGAATAATTCTCACGTCTGACACGTTCACGTTCGTTTTGCTTCTAGCACTGCTACAGATGAAAACTGAATTGAAATATAAAGTGAATTTGCACGCTACTTACTTAAAGAACTATTCACGAGTTCGAAAATTTCAGAAGCATTACTGAATTAGAGGAAAATTTTATATTCTCTGACGCGTTCACGGGTAAACTTACTCGTTGTGTTCGTTAAAGAATATAAAAGAATAGTTTGCGCTTTCAAATATGTGACTCATTGAAAATCTTTAGCATTCGCAGATAAGTATACTTGCATAAAATAATCAATATTTTCGAACTCTTCTTTGAACCTATAATGTACACCTACATCTAGTAAAATAATAATCTCGAACTTGTTTCCATTGCACTTAACAATACACGCACTTTTAATAACTCGTAGAGGTAGTATCTAATGTCGTAGTCTGTTAATGTCTGATATAACTGCTTGAAATCTGTGTTGTTCACATGTTCGAAGATCAATGCCGGTGTCCTCGATACTGGATCTTTAACAACTGCTTGGAGTGTGATTATATTGGTCCCCCCTTTAAGGTTTTCTAAGATTTTAATCTCTCTTTTTATCTTCTTCTTTTTTACAGGCTAAAAATTCAAAGAAAACGGAAATTATAGATTCTGGAAAAGGACGATCCTGTAACTTGAAGGCTAGAATAAATTGTCATACCTTTAAAATTTTTACAACACACTTCTCGTTATTTGTGATGTTAATAGCTTCAAATACTTCGCTATATTTTCCTCTGCCTAATTTTCTTACTAACTGATAATCATCTTGCTGTCTGTATAATAAAAACAGGTCGATTATAAATCAAAGAAATCATTGAAATAAAGAAGCGTGTACTTACATGGATCCGAATGTTTACTTACCCCCAATCGACAACATAAGATTCATAGTCCCAATAATCTCTAGGTTTGTGTGAATTCACGTCGGTGTAAACTCGCGCTCTACTAGGATATGCCATTCTCCCCAATGTATAAGTATTATAATCTGTTTTGTTGATTGCTATGCTTTCACCGTTGTCTATCAAAAATTTACAAGATCTAGTTACTTTTACTCCTCCTCTCACCCAATTATGAATGCGCGAGGAAAAAAGTACACCTGAGTCATTAAAAAAAATTCACATTAAAAAATAAATGACAAAATGCTTACAGACCACTGCACTCAGAACTTCAAATTTGACAATCTCATTTCATTGTTATATTCAATGACAAAAGGAACATTGAAACGCTAAAAGAATACAAATTCATTTTAATTGCTCGGAGAATTATTCGAATAACTATAAAAGAAAGCAATGTCTCCGGTTACTATGTTTATACTTTAAAGTAAAGCGGTACGTTCTCATTGTTTTCAACGAGTTTGTAAGCAATGAAAAAGAAGAGTTCCATGTACAAAAGCAAACTGATACATCGAAATGCACAACGATTGTGTTACGTACAACTTATCGAATGAAAATGGTTGTGCACCAAATAATAATAATAGAGATACTTCTTGAACGTACACTACAGCAACAGAATAAAAGAAATTAAAAGTACTCGGAATAACTATTAATTACCATTGTATTTTGTTGGAAATATGAATGCTGAAATACGTGACCGAATCGTTTTACGAATGTTATGACGTATTTTCTACTGGAAGTACCTATGCAACAAAGTTGAAAAAAATTTAATCGGAATTATCGTTTACGTGGTTAGGAAGGTAAGAATCTCGACGGGAATCATTCTATGCCGCGAAATGGAACCTCGGGCGTACGGGAAATCATTTAACGCGACACGAGAGGCTGACGAGGAAAGAAATGTGTTCGGTAATTACGATGAACGAAAAGCATATTACACAGATGTCTATTGATTGTAACTTTACCGAAGACTACCGGTTCGTTTCAGCAATTTATAATTACGGGCCCGAGAATGGCCCGTCAGAGGACTAAAGAAGAATTATGCTTATGAAAAACTGCAATATTCTCGAGATTGAAGATAAACCGAGGTAAAAATTAATCCGCTATCTGCTACATGAAATAGAGAAGCACGCACAAGCACAAGGCACGAACACACATGTACGAGATAAATCACACGCCATCGCGATCAGGAAATTAACGTTGACTTATTTCGGACTCACCTAATACATTCCGGACCCGAATCTTGATTGAATCGACCGCGCCAGATCTGGAAATTCGTCGTGAAATCACGCAAACCGCTTACGGAATACGTGAAGCCGCGCGAACGCGTGAAACTCAAAGATTTTTGCGGGCGGCCGGCTTCTCAAACGAGCGAGGTCCAAGATGGCAGCCAACAACCCGCCACAAATTTCAATTCTATAGATTGAAAACTTTCAGCCTTTAACCGTTCATGGTGCTTTTCAAGAGCAAGCTGTATTATCGTTAAGTAAATTCTACACGTATTCCTGCATTCGTACGATACACCTCGTAATGTGATATTTTCATTGATAAAAGCTTCAAACTGGGATTAGTACGTTTTTAAACGATTTTCAACATATCGAATCTTTTAAGCGGCAAACGACATTTTTTTTTCGTTCCGATCGTTGAAAAAAAAATCGGTGGAAATAGAAATCGTGCTATTGTCGATAGCCGATTAATAAGTATTCTCGTAAAGTAACAATTAATAGGAAAAATACAAAATATACACTTTATATTCACTGGAGACGAATACTCCCCTAACACTTCTGTTTACGTAACAGTATTGCCACCGTTGAAATCGATAAAAAATTGAATAGTAAAGTTTCCGTATGAAACTTTCGTTTAATTTTATAATTTCGTTGAAAGCAGTGCGCTGGTCATTATTCTTTCGCCGTAAAAACAAGGTCCTGTTAATTGCACGTGTAGTGCCGAATTTAGGAACACTTATACATTAACCAATCAAAATTAGTCCCGGCAGGGGCGATACATCATTCTATGCGATATTGCATTTAATGGTCTTAATATCGTAAATGGCTATTTGACATGTGTTCGCCATAGATTGATGCGAATTGATGTACAGAATTAGTTCTGTAATTCTGCTTTTTATTACTTTATTAATATCTCATTTTTATTTTTATGTTTCGTAACGTAGGTCAATAAACTTTTGAGAAAGATGGGAAAAACAGGTATTGGACAGTAAGGGCAAACACGAAATGAAGAAATGAAACCTCTTGACTTTCGCAAAATTACAATGTGTGAATCTAAATCATTCGTTCCGTATTAATAAAGCCATAAATGGATTGTCTCCAAATTAGTAACGTCGATTGTAAAAGTTTTATTTAAATATTCTGACATGAAAATGTATGTACAAAGTAAAACGATCAACAGGTACATTTTTATTTTAAACTTAACAGAACACTTATGCTTAAACAAATTGTTAATGTATAGTTCAGACTAAGATAATACATGCAGTGGATATAACACTGACAAATCGTCTTTCGTAGAAAACCACTGTTTCAAAAGTTGTTCTGTATTAGATGCACCTCCCTGTAATTCAATATATTTAACTGATGAGTAATATCATGTGAGAATGAGTAATATCTTTATGAATACCAATCTTACCTCATGTACACCAGTAGCAGATACATTTAACTCCTTTTTAAGCCGTACAATGTTTAGAAGCCAAATCTGTGTGTATTTGTGAACAATGTACAAATCAGGGCTCATAGTTCCAACAATTAGATTATTATTTTCACATGTTGGACTGTAACATGTAAATTAAGTAGCAAATAACAAAACATGTAATGTTTATACCTACACGAGAACTTTGTAACGCTTACTTATCAAGGAAACTCTCAGTCACTTTTTTCAAGTCCATGTCCCATGGAACAATGGTCCTCAGTAACAAATTTTTCTTGTTTTCAGAATTTTTTTCCTTCATCTTGTCCAATGCTTTCAACAATCTATTTCTCGTCCTTTTAGAATCTAGTGCCTGTTTTTTCTCAGCTTCCTGCTTCTCCTTTTCACTCGTTTCCTGCTTCTGTTTTTCAAACTCCAACTTTTCTTCATGTGCGACATCTCTGTAGTAACCGCGTTCTTCAGATGATAATTTTTTCCAGAGCTCACTTAGCATTAATGCAGTTTGGGCTATCGACAGGTCAGGATTTTTTTCTAAGACTGAAAAACGAAATATTCATTATACATTGTGCTCAACACTTTTTCAATCTGTACTCACGTTGTGGTCTGATTTTTTTAGTAAACTTGATGAAACCGTCGCATATATTTTTGCGATACGAATCACTTTGTAATTCCTCATTGACCTTGGCATCGTTACAAGGCTGCACATCTGTACCGCCCTATTGAAAGTAATTTAATCGTCACAAAATTCCTTTAATCGAATTCACTGCAAAGTGCTTACCTTTAAATCGGACATGCGTCCTTTGCTCCATTTGATTAATGTACTCTGCCTTTTCGCACCTGATTTATTCTGTACTGGTGAGACTGATGTATTTTCATTCTGCCTTGCGTTTTCTTTCTCACTTGTATCTGCAGTATCCGTAGTCGAGTAATTATTCCAATCAAAATCTTCGCCTAAATCCACAACGGGCAATTGACTCAATGTTTCGCATTGTGAGTCTAATTCGAAGGGAGGACTGTCATCGTCTACATTTTCCGCTACATTTCCTTTACTGGAGAAAATAAAAGTGTGTTAGCGGCTGTCCGAAGTGTCAGAAACATCATTATCGCTACTACTAACACTACTAATACTAACTTCAATTCCTGAGAATCTTCTGAATCCGAATCACTTAAATTTAAAACAGGTAACAGGTCTATTATATTTTTTTCATATCCATCATTATTCTTGTTCTGGTCGGAACATAAATTATCTTTTTCGGCTGTTTCCACTTGTTTATCGCATTCGGGATTCATACGTGCGACAAAATTAGAATCTTGGTTGGCATTGTTGTCACCTTGTTTTAATTCAGAAGCGCATTCCTCAGGACCTTCATCAACGTTTTCTTCTGTGACTAATTTTCGTTTCTTACACGCGGGCCATTCAGGTCCTTCATCATCAACGATTGTTCTTTGCGTATAGTCTAGGTACTCGCTTTGCGAATCTTGAGGCTCGTTTTGACAAGTTTTTTCTTCTTGTATTCCATAGAAATCTTTTACTCGTTTATCGAGTGCATCATGAACTATTTGCTATAGACACGATACGTATTATGCACAAATTTAAATATGAATTAAAACTGCTTTCGTTAAAAATATAATCACCTGATCTTTGAATAAAATGGAAGTTTTATTTGGTTCCAGATTAACGTCAATATTCCCAGCATTTACCAACATGTATAGAAGAAATATTGGCCGTTTTTTGGACGACGAATCATATCCAAAAGCTTCCAGTATTATTTTACTCGCGGTCTGAAAATGAACATACATCTTTCTTTGTTCCACTACATAATTGTAACATATAAAAACATAAAACCTGTACCTTCTCTAAATCTTTATGTTTAATAGGCCTATTATTTACAAAAACGTATTGTGTTCCAGTTTGGATTTCTTCGGATACATTTTGAGTTTCTTTAACAGGCAGCATTAATTTCATTCTGATCTGAAAAGTACAAACGTTTTTATTTTTAAAGCAGGGTACTTTATCATATTATGTATAGAACTTTATTGCTTAATTACCTCTGCATCTTCAGTGTCTACCCATGCCATTTTTGAGGTCACCTTTTTTCCAAGGACACACGATGCTGCTTCTTCAAGAGTCTGCATACCAGGTTTTACAAATATAATATTGCCATCTACTTTATAATTTATTCTTACCGTGTATTTACACATTGCATAGCTTTTAATTAATGATTCTAATACTTTAAGATCTTGAGAAACTTTTTTCGAGTTAGTTATCAATTGTCTTCGTACAGGTACTTGCTTAAATAATTGCCTAACTTGAATGGTTGTTCCTAAAAGTATACAAATATGTAAGAAGCAATAGTTGAAACTATTAAATTTAATCATCTACCTGTAGCTCTGTGACAAGGCTCAGATTTTATAATACATCCATGATGATCAATGGTATAAGATGTAGCAACTTCCTCGTCTTTTGTTTTAGATATAACTGTAAGATCTGATACTGCACTTAACGCGTACAATGCTTCACCCCTGAATCCATACGTTTCCAAGGAATCTGTCATTCATACGAAGAACAGATTTAAAAACTTCAACAATATATTAAAGTACTTACATGAGAAATTTAGTTTAAGCTTATAATATACAACTACTCACCCAGATCAGAGAAGTCATTAATTTTGGAGGTGCAAGAAGATGCAGCCATATAAGGTGCATCCACTTTATGAATACCACAGCCGTTATCTTTCACTTCGATTAAAGTAGTCCCATTATCCACCTAATGGTCAGAACATAAATTTCACGATAAGATCATTAAATACAAAGGTGAAAAACGAACATAAACGAACAGTAAAAGTGTGTGAAATACCAAATTAATTTCAATGGTATTAGCGTTCGCATCCAATGCATTTTCTACTAATTCTTTAACAGCGTTCGATATCGAAGTTATAACTTGCGTAGTCGTTATTAGTTTCACCGTATTATTATCCAAAACCCGGATAGTCATTTTATCCTGTCATCAAATTAACTGAATGTTTCAGAGACTTTTTCCGCATAGGTGTATACACTGATCTGTGTCAGCGCGGGAACGTGTATTTCAAATTTTATACATGATTCAAATAAAGAGGTTAGATGACCAATAGTAGTGTCATACGTAAGAACGCGATCGCAGCGACGCGTGCGGTGAATTACAAAATATTTAATTAACGAAATTAAAGAAATTAATTATCGCCCTTGAACTTTTTCTTTAATTCAGCGTCGTTCTCATTCAATCATTTACACTACTTATGGTTTACCTTTGAAACCCATTTAGTGTACCTTTGTTTTATTAATTAATCAAATGAAAGGGATAGGAACAAACCGTTTTTATTTTAATAATAGTATCGTAGAACAATATATAAAATTTATGTTAACAACGCGGATACAGGATTCCGTGGTTACAAAAGTATATGACAAGAATTGTTTCAACGATCTACTTGTACTTCTCCACCAATCTGTTGACCAATTTAATGTACTCTTCTTTCGCGTTGTCCTGGGACATACACTCCTTCGACTTCCATGCGTCCCATTTCGCTTTTCCTTTCACGTCCATCATACCGGGCCTGGCTGGAATTTTAGAAAATCATTCTGAATAACACAATAATTATTACAATAAAAGTAACGTATCGACTATCACATAGCAAATGTGGCTGTATTTTTGAAAAATTCTCAAATAAATTAACATAGCAACAGGAAAATTACAGTCCCTATCAAACAATTAGGTCCATTGATGCCAATTATGTCAATCTGTTACATTATATATTTTCTATACTTTTATTTACAATTATATAACTTTGTCATAACTCAAGCTAAATGTCACTGCTTAAGACTTGGTCTTAACGCTGCGATAAAATAATGATGATTACATTGCCGCAATTATTATTAACAAATGTTATTATGTAATTGCTACCGCAGTCTTGAAACCTACACGTTGCTCGAATTGTTTCATCGAAGACTGTAAAATACAAGTCATTTGGAATGGCGGTGAACGCATTTATAATTTCTTTATGACAACCATCAATATTAAACGACTCGACCGGTCACCAGTTCCGGCGGTAAATAAAACTCACTGGTATTGATGTCGCCGACCGTCGCCTGCTTGAACAAGGAGTAAAGTTCCAAAAATTCGTTGTCTGAGGGACGTTTGGAGAGCGTCTTAATTGCCTCCACAGCTTCCTCGAATTTCTGTGCAGACAAAAAGAAAATAATTCAAGGACTTAATAAATACTAAATAATAAAATAGCGGGACCGGATAGGCAACCTTTAACCTGACTGTTCAACGGCGATGATCGTGCATGAAAAAAAAAACTATCTACATAATCTGACGTAATTGCAAATCGAGCGTCGTGTTTATACATTGCCCTTTCTCGCCTTTTTGCCTTCTCCGGATCGTGTTTGTTTTTCGCGAAGTTCTTCGAACGCGTGTCATGCGTTCACCTCCCCCAAGATATTATATTCCTATCGCGCGATATCTTCTCAATAACGTAATCAACAGATTAGAGTGTATCGCGATAACGGAGGCTTATCGGGGTTTTTAGAAAGAGCGCTCGCGATACGATTTATTTATAAACTGCAACCTGTTGATCCTTGTTGATTGTTGGCAACGACAGTTCCGAGAGCTAATTTTTCAAATGCAACCTTTTCAGATTTGACTATCATTGTTAACCAATATTTCACCTTCTCAAACTTTCAAATTTGACTATCATCGTTAACCGATGTTTCACCTTTTCAACCTTTCAAATTTAAAATATTATCGTTAACCAATATTTCACCTTCTCAATCTTTCAAATTTGACTATTATCGTTAACCAATATTTCACCTTCTCAACCTTTCAAATTTGACTATCATCGTTAACCAATATTTCACCTTTTCAACCTTCCAAATTTGACTATCATCGTTAACTAATATTTCACCTTCTCAACCTTCCAAATTTAACTATCATTGTTAACCGATGTTTCACCTTCTCAACCTTTCAAATTTGACTATTATCGTCAACCGATATTTCACCTTTTCAACCTTCCAAATTTGACTATCATCGTTAACCGATACGTCACCTTTCAACCTTCCAAATTCAATCCTCTAGGGTCTAACTATTTCCAACAACTATTTCGTTACTGTTTCAAGCGAAGATTACCGAAACTTCACTTTCCATCTAAGCACTTTCCGTTCACTCGACAAACTCGGTCAGCAAGGTACAAGAACTCCACAGGGAAACAAGGGAAATACCGTGCCCGCCGTAGAAACCGATTTACCTGTTGAAGAGACATCCTGTCGCGAGGTTGTTCGTAACGAGTACTTTATGACCACTGGCCAGCGCGTGTACCTATGCATCGGTTAAATATCTCTTCCGGTCTCGCCCCCACCGGTCTCTCCACGATGCGATCCAGCAAACGATAATTATTTTAACCGATCATGAAAACCAATCTCGTGTGCTCGCTAGCGACAGGTGTTTATACCTGCGGACCGATCAACGTTCAAGTGTCCGTGTCGTGTCATTTTATTAGCGGAATAGCTAATCAAGTTTTTCTCAGATGAGCGATAACCCGGACACAAAGGTTACCGTCGAAAACCGATCGTCGAACCGGTACGAACGTTATCCTCGGGGACCGGTTGTTTTTCGATCGTTGGTCGATAACGCAAAGTTTGAGAAAGTTTAAGAATCTAATTTTACAAATTTCATTGAACATTTTAAACGCATTGTTTGATAGATGAATAATATAATTTTAGAAGTTGCGGCAACCGGTTCTATAATCACCATGAATGCGCATAATATTTCCCCAGCCAATTAAACGCAAGAAGCGTTAAACATTGGGGGGGTATCCGATTTCCTCGACTCTCCGTTCAGAGTCTATAACACACCTATTTTATCGAGAAGCTTCGATCAATTTACATTTCCAGTTTCAGTAATAACATTTCCGTCGGTCTCTTCTTCAGAGGATTTTTTTTACAACAATGTAATCTTCTTCTTTAACCCTTAGCAGTCCTATGTCGAGTCAAACTCGACATTCTTATTTTATTGCAACTTCTACCTGTTTTAACAATTTTTTCTATATATTTATAGTATCACAATTGTACCATTTAAAGGTAACATTTCAATGACTGCCAAATATTCTTGAATAAATAAATAGAGCGTCATATTAAGCTGTAATTGAATGAACTAACAAAGTGAGAAACCAAGAGAGCACTTTGGACCGTAAAGGGTTAAATTAACTTTTAAGGTCACATCGACGGACTAGAGGTCCATTTTAGCCACAGAACATTGTTCATTTGCTTTACTCTCAATTTTGTTGTAAGGTTGGTTTGCTTCAGGTAGTTTTCATTGTGTTTCTAATGTGATCCTATGATGTAGAAGAGCGTTGTGTCTAGGTCTAAGTTTGTATTTGAGAGTTTTTGTGTTTGATATCTTCAGCATTCGTGCAAAGATGTGTTGTTATTCTCAGGTAACACAATTGCTGCAGAAAAGTTGTTCCGTCTTTTTTAGGTGTTCACATTTTTTGTGAACTAATTCTGAGTCATAACAAGATGTCCTATCTTTTCCATAATGTAAAAATTGTATCTTTCCAAAGGCGTCTCCTTCTGATAATATAACAGGTGTAAGAGATTCATGAAAGATTAAAGATGAGCACCAGTGGATTCATCAAAAGGCTTCCTATTACCCCGTGCCTTAGATGCTAGTAGCGATTGTAACTTCCAGGCGGTATATATACAAATAGGCAAAGAACCGAGCAGTAGCGAGAAAGGCTGTCGGTGTCAGCAGCCCCCTAGTGGCAGCATAGGAAAGGTGCCGCCAGATTTTCAGCAATCGGAGAATAAATTAACACGTTGAGCGCCACGAAAATCTTAAGTACTTTCCCATAGAGTTTGTCTTTTGTAGCAAAGAAAAGCAGGAACAATTATGAATCGTTCGGCGGTGCAATGTTTGCGTTACACTATTATCAGCTTAGTTGCCTTATTAAACATTTTTATTTCACATCGGTTGTCTTGTATGTTACGTGTCAATACTTGGGGGCCTGAGAGATAGACCAGGCCCATTGACTAATTTATGACCGAGGGGACCACCAGAACCTAGGTCACGTACGCCCTCGTCTGAAGAGGTTTCCTTCTTAGAAAAGCGTCGAGGAAAAGTTAGTCGTCGTTCCTCGTTAGAGTCACATCGAGCAATAAATATATTTAACCTGACTACGGACTTAGTTTTTATTTTAGTAGCCCTACAAGTAAAAGGGCGTTGATCGTGTTCAGTTGCGTTGAACTCGATGTACCAGGAGATCCTCGCAGGACGAGAGTCCCAGGGCCCGGAGCCTAGGCAGCAGAGCTCGGCCGGTGATCGGGGAAACGGCGACGAGAAGGAAAGGAGGCCAACGCGTGCCACATCATCGCGATCGTCATCCGCGGCGAGCCTGCCCGACGATTCCTCGCATTCTCGAGCGGGGCTGCTTCGTTGCGGCCCATGAACCGTCCTCGGAGTGTTCGTTTTGCCGCGGATTCGTCGGAAACGATGACGCAGCACGGAACTATCTCGGGGCCCTGCGGTCCAACGATGACGCAGCTGCTCCTCAGCATCCTGCGAGGAAAAAGATATTTTAACCCTTTGCATTTGAGAGGCGACTTACAGTCGCTGTTTACAATATTAAAGATCATTTAACGTAGTTATCTATGAAATGGTAAAATAGAATAGTTCTGACCCTTGATTTCTATGTTATTTTTATTAATGTTAGCTAATAAACCTATCATTGATATTAATTTTATGCAGAAGCTATCCCATGTCACCGGTTATTATTTCACAATTAAATATAAAAGCGAAATAATCTATTAAAATAATAATTTTATATAACTTTGAATATTTTACTTTCACAATATTCTATACTGCTCTGCGTTTCAAAAATTAATATGGCTAATACAAGTGCAAACACGAGTTAACTCATGGTTTGTCAACAATGTGTACGTTGAATGCCATGGGGTCGCCGGTGACCCCAAGCGAATACTATACTTCACTCAATTAAATGATTATTCGCAAACATTTCTATATTATAAATAATGCTACCCATTGCGGTGACATTCTGCTACATCACCGTGCAATAATAATAATAATGCAGTTCAGTCAAATGATTTAATATCATATTTTTTTCATTTTGTGTATTTTACGGTACAAAATCGTGCGGCATTCAACGTGTTAAGCAATTTGGTAGCTCCGGTCAGCAATGACCACCGCGCGGCAGTCAACGTGCTAATGAAACATGGCGGTCTTCGCGGGGTACGCGCGAGAAAGGCGAAGACAGGAGAAATCCACGGAAGAATGCGGAATCGCGCGGATTCGGAGCCTCTGCTCGACCGAGGCGAAACGCGCGCGAGTAATACGTCACGACGATCGCGACAAACCTTTTGTTCGAGTAAAACGTCACGCCTCTATTCTTCCAAAATAAATCGACGTCTTCGGACGCTTCAATTGTTTGCAATCAGCCGGCCTACAATGGATGTTTTGCAAACAGAGGGAAGCTAGAGAACAACTGCGCCATTTCGTAACAGTTTCGCTTAGAAAACAGAAACAAAGCAGTTACAGTTACACAGAAAAATCAGTTTTCACTTAATTGTTACTAACCTCTTGGAATATCTTCCACGTACGTCGAGTTTCCATTTTTGTCTCGAAATTCCCAATAACACACATCGATAGTCTTGTTGCATTACACACACTAGATTCTTTTGAATGACTGGTTTCGATTTTCTTGTTTCACAATTATTGATACTTGAGAAATATTAAATATTCGAAATGCTTTCAAAAACAAATATTTTCACTTAAACACTATAACAAGCATTCCAAGAAACAGAAAATCTATTACAATTTTTATAGAGATTACATATCACTCGTACTAAATACTCGGTAGTTCTATTGTCAATAAACAAAATTACACATCGTAAAATAAGTGAAAGCAATCTTCGCGCAAGCCTGTCAAATCTCATTCACGTAAGAGGTTAGAAAAAAGGTCCTGAAGTTTACCTATACCTAGAGCGTCTCTAAATGGTGGTCCCCCCAAAATAACCGCCATCCAGTATCGATCATCGAAGATCGAGGTTTTTCGCGGGAACCGGTCGGGGAACAGCGGAATCGGAAAGGAACGCGGGAAGAGAGGAAAAGGAAAGCGGAAAGAAAGGAAGAAAGGAAGGAAGGGTGAGCGATTTGTGGAACGCGCGATTGGTCTCGGCGAGAGCTGGCGGGGATTCCCGAGCGACGCTGCAGCGAGCGAGCTCGAAAAACTCGGCGAGTACGCGCGATTTGTCGCTCGATCGTCGATCGTTCGACGCGCACTCGGCACGCCAGCTGAAGACGGTGCGCGACGCGAGTGCGCGAGGCTGCGGACGAATTTCTTCCTACGTATTAAACGCGAGACTTCGACTTACCTTTTCTTTCGAGGTACGATGATTTTTCACAGTTCATTAACACGTTCACTGTCACGAGAAACTTCAGAGTTCTATGTATCGTTCTTTCAGCAAAGATAAAAGATTACCTCTAATCTGCTATCGCGATATTTGATTACATTATTGTTAGGTTACACTATTATCATTTAATCACTATTGAATTCACTATTTTCATTGGATCCTGATTGACAGATCATAATTGTCCGGTAATCGGCGACCGCTGACAGTCAACGTGTTGAATGCTCGTGCGTTAGTTTTTAAACTTGTGGAACAGTGCGCGAAACAGTGGTGTGACAGACACGACGTGCGAACGAGTTTTTCCGCGGTCGGTCGGTAAAAACGCGCGGAAAATTCCCGCAGGCGGGACGACCGAGAGAAACGAAGAGGTCCACGCGGTGGAATGACAATATTTTGCCAGGCGCATCAGTGTTTAACGTTCCGTCGACGGGCGATCTCAGGGACGAGACGACGCGTGACGTTTCGCGTTGAGCTGAATCCGTAGAGAATTCTAGAATTCGGGAATCCTCGATTCGACCATTTGCAGAATTAACACTGAGACTACTTTTGACTCGGAATTACCTACTTTCGATTTTTTGATTATTGAAAAGATAACGGATGATACTTGAAAAATTATTAATGTCAATATAAGAACTATCAAGCATTTAATACGATTGATATGTAATCTATAGAAAAATTGTAACGACGGATCATCTTCAGCTTCTTCGAACACTCATAGTGTTCAAGCGAACATATTTTCGAAACCATTTCGAATGTTTCTCAGGTACCAATAATTACGAAACAAGGAAACCGAAATTATTCCGAATATTCACTGATTTTGTATCGATAATCGTGAGACAAGGAAACTTATTTTGGTACGTTAATTCCTAAAATCTCGATAGGTGTGCTCTCAAGGTTCCCGGAGAGATTCGAGAAAATCAACATTACTTACTGGCACGACGGTACGACACTGGTCCTGGTGACACACGGTTCACGTGTTCGGTTCGCGATGAACGGTGCGCGTGGATCGCGGCGAGGCTACGGTTCTTTCGACTCCGCGCGACGCGACGGGAATCGTACGGCTCGGTTTCGCAACAGCAGTCGGGGACGTCGCGTGGCCGACGCAACGCGCGACGTGGGACGGCCGCGAGCGATTTAGACATTCCGGTGAACGCGATAATAACAACTGAACGCGAGGATAAAAACCGTTACGCGTCTTAGACAAGAATGCCGCTGGCATTCGTCTGATCGTTTTCACCTGTTCCCGTTCGATTATCGATAGCCGACCCGCTGTTCGTCACCGCGGTTGCAAGCGGCCAATCGTTGACCATAAACAAAACGTACAGCGAGAGACTCCTCCCGCCCCTCCGCGTTCCGCCGTCGTTCCCGAGACACATAAGGCTAAAGCTGAACGCGCACGAGCGATTCGCGGGAAAATGTTGCAGCTGCAACTCCCTTGGTGTGAATGAGAGAGTCCCCCATCTGACGAGAAGAATAAGAATCGTTTAACACGTTGACTGGCATGGTGGTCACCGGTGACCGGAGCTTCAAAATTGGTTGACACTAGAATCTTAATCTTGATAAAAATTGTAACAAATTATCTTCAGTTTCTTCAATATAATATTCAAACGAAGCTATTTATTTTCAAGATCATTTCGAATATTCAATGCTCTTAAGGTATCGATAATTGCGATACTAAAAAATCGATACCAGTCGTTTTGACTGGTATGGTAGTTCTAGATGACAGTGTAACACGTGTACTGTGATACCAGGTCATTAATAATTATTTCTAATACCATTTGCCTTTGTTATGAAAGAATGTGTATTATACAAAACGTTCGAAATTCTCATGGCAGTCAACGTGTTGAGGCTTTCGCGACCTGGAATGTTACATTCAAAAGTGGCTTTCCTGTGAGAACCGTGTCCAGTAGGAAATTGTTCGCGACGTTTCGCCATCATTGCAGCTGGTTTCATCAGGGTTAAAGGCACATTGATATCGGTATGTGTTAGGAAGACTGTCTGTACATACCTGATTCATGTTCCGGATCAGTGGTCACCTGTAGTTCTTAATTGGCAGCTGAGTAATTAAGAAGATGGGAGGAGCGAGTGTCGATTTGATAATTGATGTCCTGTGTCCCAGTTGATGTTCGGGTGCTTCAGGATTTCAATTGATTCCCTGTAGGTATTTTTTGGTCTTCGAACTTGATTTTGTGTCAGAGGAATGGTTGCCAGGACTCGCATGTATTTAACCCTTTGCACTCCGTGGGCGCCTCTCAGTCAATTAATTTGACACAGCAAAATTATAGAGTTTGACATTTAATATTAAACTTTGTACAATGCATCGACGTGTAAAATATTAAAATGAAACAGCCTCTGTAATTTATGTGCTATTTCTCGTTGAGTCAGCTTGAAAGAATGTCGTTGGTATTTCACTAAAAAATGTTGAGTATTTCTAATGAAAATCTTGTGGAGTGCAAAGGGTTAACACTTTGACTATGTCAGCTTAAAAATTAATTTTCTCGGTGGCGTGTTCATGGAGCCGAATGTTGTTAGATGTAATAAATATAGAAATGGCAGTAGTGCAATTGTCACGAAGAATCTTGGCTTTTTGATTTCGTATGAGAGTTTTAGTGAGTGATTATTTATCAGTCAACGTGTTAACTTGACAGTTTCGACTGTTCTCCGAAGGAAAGGAGGAAAATCGACGGAATAGCTAGCAGCTTCGACGAAAATCGTCCGGAGATTCATCACGTTGAAGTTTGAGGTCGCGTTAACACCTCGGCTATCGATTAGTCACTCTCGATCGAGTCCGGATCCTGGTTCGAGTCCAAGGAGACCGCGATAGCCCAGTGTCCGTCGCTGTACTCACGTCGCAACATCGATCCTCGCGGATCTTCACGGATCTCGAAGAATTCAGTGTTAGAAACGCGCGAAATCGTTGACAGACTGTGTTCGTTTGCTTACTCGGGAGTGACAGCGAAGAAACTCGTCGTTTCGCGGTACAAACGGGCACACCACTCGACGTTTCCTTCGTTAACGTCGGAGGCGCCAAACTCGTTGACTATCGAACCGTTTACAAAATTCATCGACTGCGCAGAATGAAAGTTAGAATTTGTTAGAGCTTCGTAAGTCGATTGACAAGCGACCGTTCGTTTGCAAAATTCATCGACTGTGCAGAATGAAAATTAAGATTTATTAGAAAATTCTATGACTGCGCAGAATGTTAGAATTTATTAGAACTTCACAGGTACGTCGAGAAGTAACCGTTCGTTTACAAAATTTATCGACTGCGCAGAATGAAAATTAGAATTTATTAGAACTTGACAGGTACGTCGAGAAGCAACCGTTCGTTTACAAAATTTATCGACTGCGCAGAATGAAAATTAGAATTTATTAGAACTTCGTAAATACATCGAGAAGCAACCGTTCGTTTACAAAATTAATCAACTGCGCAGAATGAAAATTAGAATTGATTAGAAGCTCGTAGTTAGATCGAGAAGCAATCGTTAGTTTACAAAATTAATCAACTGCGCAGAATGAAAATTAGAATTGATTAGAACTTCACAGGTACGTCAAGAAGCAATCGTTCGTTCGAACGTAGAAATTCGTAAACACTGGCACTCATGAACGACCCGATCAGTGACGCGAGTAAACTAACCTAACAGTGGCGTGTAGTGCTGGCGGCGGGAAAGATCGGCCGATAGCGGGGCACGTTGCAGCCTGTTATCGCTGTCTCGCCGGAATTCCATTCACGGTGTACGGTTTCGATTACCCGGACACTCTGCTGGCGAGTTCGAGCCGATGAAATGGGACTGACACGGCGGAATCGCTGTTCACCGTGAGAGGGGAACGTCGACGATGCTCGACTCGACGTCGCCTTTCCGCTCGGAGATTTTGACCGAGGAGATTCGACGACCGGAAGTGCCCGACGAACCGTCCGATCGGAGGATGAGTCTGTGGCCGGTAGCCAACCGGAGCTTCCTCCACGGGGACCGGAAGAGCTTCGCGCCCCCCGAGAGGGTCGTCTACGCCACCCTCGACAGCTTGGCCTTGAAGAGGGCCAGGCTGCCTCTGCAGCTGCTACCGGTTCGCCCGAACGCGGCGGCCGATTGCGACGTGCCTGCCGAAGACGAGGGAAACTGCGAGCAACAGGTTCGTGCAGAGTCAAATACTTTCCGTCTGATGGTTCATCACAATTCCACAATATATACTTCTGTTTCACTCTAAGGACAAACCTAAACTGTTCATGAACAGTCTACACGTTGTGTTTACAACTGAGAAAAGCAAAAAATGCAGATTTCTTGAGCGTGTCAACGTACTTTCTGCGGCCAGTGTGTATACTAATATCCCATAGTCAATGGAACTGTTAGGTACTAATATATATACTAATATTCTATAGTTAATGGAACTGTTAGGTACTAATATTAGGTACTAATATATATACTAATATTCCATAGTCAAGGGAACTGTTGAGTATTAATATTAGGTACTAATACATATACTAATATTCTATAGTCAATGGAACTGTGAGGTACTAATATTAGGTACTAATACATATACTAATATTCCATAGTCAATGGAACTGTTAAGTACTAATATTACTCACTCACTTGATTTCATACAGTGAAACTGTCAAATCTAATATTTAACCCTTTGAACTCTGTAGGCTCCAATATTGCACCAGGTTATAATATCAGATATTTTAATGAACCAAAGAAACCACCTTAAAATTACTAGATCTTCTATTATTAATTATTAGGCCGTTCCAGTATTAAATTAGCGAAACACAGTCATCCTTCAATGAGTCGTTAACAAGAAAACCCCAGGAGGTCCGTGATCCAGTTTCCACCGTGGTTTCCATGTTTTCGTTGCGACGAGAAGTTACAAGCTTGTTTTTCGCGTCGCTAACGTCTCAACGGTTCCTCCGCGCCTCTCTTTCTCATCGATGACGGTTTCTCGGCGCGCGTGACTCGCGTTTAAATTCCCCCGAAGGCCGCCGCGAATTCAGATCCGCGATCTTCCCTCGTAAAACTCGGTTCCGACAGGTGAAATTCCTTTCACCCTTTGACTGCTAAAGATGTATGTATAAAAGCTCTCACAAGTCTATCAATATACACGATAGGCATAAATTTGCATCCTCTGCATTTTCATTCACTTTATGTTAATATTATCAAAATGAATTTGTTCCTTATTATCAATTTTCCATTTTCTTCTTTATATTCAATTACCACCTGTTATTATCGAAGAAATAATCTACATATTAAGTTAAGTAAATTAAAGTTGCTTAAGAAGTTATTTAACCCCTTGCCGTACAATGACGAGTGAGACTCGTGATGACTAATTTGACAACAATCAATATTGTTCATTATCCACGGATCAAAGTACGTAACTATTTCGCTATTATCAATGTATTATCTTCAAATGGAACTACCGCTTGAAGTAGAATGGAAAATTTTGCTACTTTTCTTCTAAATTGCCGATAGTAAATTGTTACACGAGCTTAGTAGCGGAAATAAATAGTACGTCAAGGGGTTAAAACGAATAGAAAAATGGATATTTTAATTTATTCGCAATTATTATTTTGTTCAAACCCTAAGAATGGTATCAAATCTCCGGATACTCGGTCACTAGTCAGTGGACGAGCAGTCGCAGCGACTAACACGCAAATAACGCGCCGTCCGTATCAATGGCTTCCTCGGAGAGCGCGCCGCAGTCAAAAGTTTAATCCCGCTTCTGAATCTTCGTTTCGAAGTCCGAGAAATAAAAGAACCGTTGCGAAATGATCGACACTCTTGGAATGACACTCGGTGATCGAATACCGCGAGGAATTCGATGCGTTCGCTTAGAAGCTTACGGCATCGTTTCCCAGTTAACCTGCCCGCCTATGTCATCATCCATACCTGCGCTCGATTCAGCTGTTTCGTCGCTCGTAATTCGGTGGAAGAAGAAAACCTTCTATGTCCACGTTTCACCGTTGCAGTGTACAGTTCTATTGCTCCTAGGAACATTGATTCTCATTTTATATATTAACCCTCTGCGAGTGACTTTGAGAGTCACTCGAGAGGTGACCCTCAGTCACCATTTGATTCGAAGTAAAATTAGAAAATTTAATATTCGATACTGAACTATGTATAATGCATCGGAAATATTAAGACAAAAAAGCTTTGTTTCTCAATTTACCTGTGATTTCTCTTTCAATTCATTTAAAAGAAACCATCGTCTTTGTCTAGTTATAAAACATTAAGTATTGCTAACGAAATACTTCCGAGTGCAAAGCGTTAACGCTAGGTTTACGGAACGCGTCAAATTGACGTATATTGAATTTTAGAAATATTATTTTGCAAATGTTCACGCCGATTTTGATTGATCACACTGACATGTACCCCACCTACTATCAAATCTCCAGTTTCCACAATCTAAATAAACGAGCATCAATTCTCTTAGGAATAATATAATGAAGTACAATAAATGCCCGTAAACCTATTGTTAAATTCTAAATTCTAATACCACTCAACGTGTTAACAATCTACTCGTTTTCTGCGTCTCGCTGATAATCGTCCCTAATAAACATCTTAGTCCAGTCGTAAGGATAAAGATAAGAACGTTCTGCACAGGTTGAAAATGAAATAAATCAACAAGATTCCAATATACTGATACGTGACTTCAAAGTTACATGGGCCTACAAAGGGTTAACATTACAATCGATTCGTTTTCTACTAATAATCGTCCCTAATAAACATCTTAGTCTCGACGCAAGGATAAAGATAAGAACGTTCTGCACAGGTTGAACAAAGAGACGCACCGGAGGACCTGCCTCCATCAAGCGATGCCCGCGTCGACGTGTCGGCCGTTATCGAGGGAAAAGCTGCGAACCACCTCGATATCGATAACGGCCGCGACGATAAACGCTCGGCGACCGTCGCGCGAGCCGCAGGCGTTGACCAGTGCGACGACGCGGCGGAAACGGAGCCCGACGACGACCACGCCGAGCGGAGATCCAGCTGCAGCGACTACGAGAGGATCGAGGTACCGTGCTCTCCCGTTCGAGAAACGGTTCCCAGCTTTCGCGGGGGAGAGCCGGAGGCCGGGGGAGCCGAGTACGCGAGCGTGCTCGTGAGATCCGTTTCCCCGAGCGACCCGGAGGCGGCTCCCACGGCGGAAAAGCTAACGGGAGACCGGAGAAATCGCCGGCCCGGGGACACCGGCGAGAAGAAGAAGAAGCGCTTCGCGAAGAACGTGCTGCAGCTGGTGCCCGACTACCTCGCGAAAGGCTCGAAGAGGGCACGCAGGAAGAAGAAGGCCGCCGGACTGAGCTCGTCGCTGGGCTCGCTGAAGACGACGCTCGTCGAGCCGACGATGGACGAGGATCTCGCGCTCGATCTCAGGTAGCAATGGCGATTACTTATAGCAGGAGAGTTTGAACGGTTTCGAGGATGAAAGAGTGGACTAGGTGTTTATGATGCTTTGAATTTGATGGCTTGGTGATTGCGGTGGTATTGGACCAATAGAAATTACTTGTCAAGATGTTTAGTTGCGTGGGTAGCTAATAGTGTGACAGGCAAACTGACCGAGGCTCTTGCTTCTAGGAGGAAAGTTTGAACGGTTTTGAGGAAGAATGAGTGACTGAGCGTCTGGAAGGTCTAGGTGTTTGATGCTTTGAATTTGATGGCTTGGTGATTGCGGTGGCACTGGGCCAATAGAAATTACTTGGAGATAATTAGAAGGAAACTGAGGTGTCAGAATGTTTAGTTGCGAGGGTAGCTAATAGTGTGACTTAGGGGATGTGATAGCAGATTGTTGGTAATTAATTCTAGTACCATTCGCGTTCGTTGTGATGGGATAAGTAGTGTTAGTGTTGATACTTAGTTGAGAAGTGATTAGAAGCTAATTCAAAAGCAAAATATTCAAAATTATATTTCAATTCATTATTGCTTCACTTTCATATTTAATTACGAAATAACCGGTAACATGAGATAGCTTCTGCATGGAATTGCCGGTCAAAATGTGTCAAAAACAAAGTTAAAACTCAATAGTTCCTCACAGAAACATCTGTCGTAGTCATTGCAGAAGAAAGACACCAGGAATGGGTCGTTCCTGTCAGTTTCCCTTTCAATTATTTCTTTTATTCTCATTACCCGCTTAGATATATAAAAACGGATCACGCTATTTATAATCTTCTCATGTAAAAACAGAAAAGCATTCAGTTTCTGAACTAAAACGAAAGAAGGATCGCGCCACTTGAAACGGTTAAGGATCGAATTTTGCTGGAGAACATCGAACAGCTTGAAAATTCCGGTTTCGAATGTCCAGGCACAGGTCGAGGAGCCTGTCCAGGGAGGAGCTGCGCTACCTGAAGATCTCGTCGCCGACGAACTTCGTCCACGTGGCGTCGGCGACCAGCCCGAGCCTGGTCTCGAACGAGAACAGGGTCGAGTTCGGCTCGGAGCAACTGCCGGTGATTACTCACGAGGAAAAGTGTGCCACGGTGCCTCTCCTCGTCCAGGCGAGAACAGAGGATTCCAACGAAAATCGGAGCGACGCGATCGGCTCGAGCCTGGACCGAGCAAAGCCGGGTAAATAGCCGCGCGACGCGATTCTAGACCGGGTGCTGGTAATTCCGGGTGAGATGGTCCTATCCCCTTTCAATTATACAATGCCTGTACTTCTTCAATCGTTTCTGACACTGAAAATAAGTCAACTTCACTCTTTGAAATTTCTCTTTGAAAACTCTGTGTAGACAATTCTCTACAATTTAACTTGTGTATTGCTGAGTCAATATTTGGAATTATTTCACCGAGGAACGTCTGCTATTTTTATAATAATTAGAAAGATATCAGAAATCGGTGATTTTGATTCGTAGTTTTAGTGTTAACCCTTAGCACTCCAGATGGTTTTGCAATCTAACAACTGCAATTTGTATAGTCTCCCTAGCGAAAATGAGAAATGCTATAACATTTCTTAGATCCTTTATTTTTCTTCTTAGTGCAAAATTTAATAATTTTAGTGTAGTTTCTTTAAGATTCATTAAAATATTTGATATTACAACTGGTGCAATATTGGAGCCTACAGAGTTTAAATTTCCTAGTGAAAAAATGCTATGACATACCTTGGATCTTTTAATAAAAATCTAATAATTGATAATAGAAAATCTAATAATTTTAGGGTAGTTCCTTTGATTCATTAAAATATTTAATATTATACCTTTTGCAATATTGGAGCCTACAGAGTTCAAAGGGTTAACACACGAACCTTGATAAATTCTCTTCGTTAAGCATCGATGCTATTTACATACATGTTTCTTTAAAAAACCATCTCTCCATAATTTACCGTACCCCCTAGACTCCTCGCACCCCAACCCTTCTCTCAGAAAATGCTTATCCCACTTCTGCGACACGATGGAATTCCTACAACTTATAAATTTCCCTTGCAAAGTCGAGCCAGACACGTGACGAAGATTTCGAGGAACACCGGCGCTATCTTCCCGACGGATTAAACATTATCTCTCTTTATCGGTGCAACGGTTGCAACCTTCGGAACGCTCGAAATCTTCGGCACGCGAGCGAACCGTTTAAAAAGGCACCGGAAGGCGACGAGAAGTTTCACGTGCGCGATCTCTCTTCTTTTTCCTCTACTCTCTCTGCGGACGCAGCGGGCGCGAATACGGAGGAAGGCGTGGACGAAGCGAGACGCGAATTCTTGCAGGAGCTGCGGGCACGATCGGCGGAGGTATTGGAGCGAAGCCAGCTAGTGAAAACCGGGGAACCCCGCGACGTCGGCGACGACAGCGGCCGCCGCCGAGGGAAAACGACGCCGGAACCGGCACGCGTCAACCGCAGTTTTCTATGGAGCGACCGCGCCAAGTGCCTTCTGAAGAACCAGCCGGACCACCCGGGCGACGACGAGGACAGCTACGACGACGTGGGACTGCTCGGACCGATCCGTCAGGTGACGCACCGTTCCTCTCGACCGCTTTCCACGCGGCGCTGAAACGATCGCGAGTCGTCCGACGTTCAGCCTTGGAAAGCGATCTAATTTGTAGGAAAACGAGGTACCGACACTGGAACCGAGTCGAGATCGCTGAGAGTACCTATTGGGACTTTGATTGATGAATTTGGAGACTCAGAGATTTTAATCGTTGACGTTAGGTCGATTAGGATTTATGATAGGATAACCGTTTGGATGCTGAACAACTTTGGTGGATATTTACCAAAGGAAGTGATTGGGTGTATGCAGAAGAATTAGTAAGAGTAGTTATCTAATGAGATCACAAATATTGTGTTACTATGATGATAAAACATGGATGCTGAACAACTTTGGTGGATATTTACCAAAAATGAAGTGATTGGGTGTATGCAAAGAATTAGTAAGAGTAGTTATCTAATGAGATCACAAATATTATTACAAAGAAATATCAAAATAATGTTTATTCAAGTAAATTTACTTTGATTTGTTTCTTGAAGAGTATAGTAAGAAAACTATAATAATAAGCGCTATATCAGCATTCAAACGGTTAACACTAGAACTACCGAGCATTTAAAACGATTAATATGCAATTCCCATAAAAATTGTAACAATATTATTCTCAATTTCTTCAGACATTCGTTATACTCGAATGAAGCTATTTATTTTCAAAGTCATTTCGAAGATATCAATAATTGCTGAACAAAACAATCGAAACCAGTCATTTTGACTGGTAGATCTAGTGTTAAGAACTGGTTTGGTTCATTTAGAAATTCGATACTCGTGTCGCTGAATGGATTGTTGTAGCTTGTTCTTGGAGAAGTATAGTCTTTGATCATTGTAGTTCTATCGTTAGTGTGCTCGAAACGTCGAATACTGAATCAACGCAGTCGGACGGACAAATAGGATAGTCGGAGAAAGTGTGAGTTAAGGATCTTGAAACTGAAGGTTGCTTTAATCGGTAGGAACTGTTTCGATCAGCAACTTTGAGAATAATCAAAGAGTTTCTCTGTTCAACGTTCCAAACGAAAACAAGAGATTTCAATGATATACGAGTGGTTAAGTAACTCGGCCTCTCCCCGCTAATGTCTGCAATAAGACCGTGTCCAGTTGTATAACAGCAGTACTATCGTCGACCGAGCGTCGATCGAGGTTACGAGAAAGATTCGCGGAAGTTCGGAATTAAAAAGAAATCACCGTTCGCCGCGTTGCTTTCCCGTGACTATAATCTCGGCTGTGCTGAACACCGTGTAATCTGTAGAACATTGTTCAATAGTAGGACTACTAGGTGCATAAAAACGAAACATTCCTGATTCCTTCACGATTATTGAAAAAACACGTATGACTGAGAAACTATTCAATAACTCGATTCAGTCACTCTCAGAGTAGAATACAAGCGAATCGCAGTCTCAATGAACGTGTTTTACTATGGCCACTTTTATACTGTGCCAGTAGAGGGCTGCTGACATCTGAGATCCTTTCTCGCTGCTGCTCAATCTTTTACCTATTTGTATACACCGTCTACAAACGTGAAACACTCTCTCCTTAATCTCTTCCTCCTGCCATAACATCACTGGCCGCTTCAATTTACAAAACACATTACGTAAGAGAATCCAGAACGATCTTATAGTTTCTTAGCACTCCACCTGATTTTCCAATCGATCAGCAACTCCAAGACATTTAGTCCTCGTGATGAATATGAAAAGATATAACATTTCTTAGATTTTCTGTTATTAGGAGAAGATTTGCTTATGCAGCGAATGCAATAGTCATGGGGTAGTTCTTTCAATTTGATCATCGAAATGTTTAAGTTAAGTTTAAGTTAATCAGTTAAAGAATAGAAACAACAGAAACTACATGCTAATCTCTTGCTGTCCGAGTAATTGGATCAGTCGTCCGCGACATAGTCTTCCAAATATGAACGTTTAATAATACAATTGGCGCCTAATAGCCTACAGATTGCAAAGAGTCAAACTCATCCATAAATTAACAATTTTTTCTTCTTTTTAGGAAGACGAGGACGAGGCCGAGGAGAATTACGACGACGTGGTCGCGCCTTGGACCTCAGTGGAGGAGCCGATCTTCGCGGATTTCGACGATGGCGTCTACGACGACGTGGTTTCCTTCGCGCAGCATCATCCTACGACAGAGAGCAGCACGCATGAGAACAAAGAAAACAAGGAGAATAATGGAAACAGCGAGAAATCGAAGGGAAACGACGAGGACCATTACCTGTCCATCGCGAACGAGTACTCCAGCGTGGAGGAGGAGGACGTCGACGAGATGGAGGACTGCGGGCAGGGTCTGTACGATGACGTCGGCCTGCCTACGGAGGAGCGGGTCAACAGTTTGTACGCCGGCTCTACGACCGGCTCGATCCTCGGCAAGGAATCCGAGTGGGAAGACCTGGAAGAGCCGAGCACCGGCGTCCCGCCCCTCCCTTCGCCTGGAAGAGACGATAGTTGGCCGTAAGCGTTCGTCGAACGAGTTCTGTTGTTCACGGGTCAGAGCGATTAGCAGAATTTATTAGAAGCCGGTGATCGATAACAGAAAGTAAAACAATTAACGGTATCGCTAATAAATAAGACGGTTAGCGATTGGTAGCTAAACCGACTGGCACTGGAACTGATACGCTGGTAATTAGTAATAGGCAAAGGGGTTAACCACCGGATGCTAGTAATTAACAGTAGGCGAAACGACTAACACTGGAACTATTGGATAGGAGTAATTAATTTAGCTAAAGTAATTCGCGGTGGAACTGCCGGATGTCGGAATGATTAACGACGGAAGTATTATTTATTCAATTAACGCAGTCAGTGCTTTCGAATAACACGTTCGATAGTAGAACTGTCAGTTGAATAAGCAATTGATAACTTAGAATTTTCTCGAACGTATAGGAAGTTTCTTGAAGGTATCATTGGGATAATTGTAGAGTAGCATTGAGTCATTTTGATTCTGCTGGTTCCAGCGTGAGATTCACGTGCACCTGTGCGATTTCTGTAATGTTCGCTACTTTTTCTTTGATAAAGTTCATCGCTTCGGTAAAGACATGCTAATGCTATGCGTATCGTTTCTCCGTTTATTCGACAGAAAAGGCGCAGAGGCGACGACCACGCAACTCGTGTCGAGCAAGAAGAAGGCGGGACAGAAATGGTCTCGGAAGATCGGCCGACAGCGGTCCAGACTGTCCAGGAAGAGTTGCAAGTCGACCAAGAAGCTGCCGATCGGCGATACTACGATCTACGGTCAGTAGCAATTGATCTTTCATTGTAGTAATCGCGCTGACTCCGCAACGCCAGACTGGCTCGCGAAAACTGCTGCGAACGGTGAAGGTGAACTATTCTCGTCGAACGTCGATTTTTCGAAGAGCAGAGGAATAAACTACAATAATGTCCGTAAATCTAGGGTTAAGTCTCTGTGGACGAGAAGTTCTCAAACCCTGGAAAACTCTATCAAAAATTGAGTTATGAAGGAAAAAAGGAAATTTTGTGTCTATCTCTCAATATTTCAGTTAAATTATTCAGTTGAAGCTTTCGAGTTTAAATAGGAAAGCTTGATGTCGTCATTACAACAAATTATGAAGGAAAGAAACCTCGTGTCTATCTCTCAATATTTCAGTTGTTAAGTTATTCATTCGAAGCTTTCGAGTTTGGATAGGAAAGCTCGAAGTGGTCATTCCAACGAATTATGAAGGAAAGAAACCTCGTGTCTACCTCCCAATATTTCAATTAAATTATTCATTCGAAGTTTTCAATTTGAAAGCTCAAAGTGATCATTACAACGAATTATTACTATTATTATTATTACATTATTCATTGGAAGCTTTCGATTGAAAGCTCAAAGTCATCATTACAACACTCGATCGCAAAGATTACTATAATACCATCGGTAGCGCGAACGTACGCGCCAGATCCACGATATCCAGCGACTGTAACAAGCAAAGAAAAAAGACCATTGCGACATTCATTTGTTTACAAACGCGAAAACATCACGATCTAAATCGACGGTCGAACGATTCCGTTCCGGCGTCGTCGAAGCCGAGTTTCTCGGCTCTTCCGAGAAACGGTTCGCGTTTCCATCCCGGCGGCCCATTCTTTTTCCCGCGGCGTGAGAGAATCCGTAAATAAAACCACGGAACAATTCCGTCCGCGGCCGATTCGACGCTTTCGAAAACATCGGGTGAAATGTAATCCGATTATAGAAAGTGAATTACCATCGAATCGTCGCGTCGGTTGCATTCCGATCGGCGCGTCCGATCGAGCGGCGATCGCCGGCGGATCCTCGCGCGGATATGAACCGGCGCGAACCGCGATCGTTCGTTACTGATCGGGGAAACGAATGCGCGACGCCGGCTCAGATTTTATTGTGTCCCGGAGAGGATGAAAATCTGATTGAACTTTCTCGACTTTCTCGACTTACGGAACGCGGACGCGTAATATTCATAAATTCCTCGCGCACGTTGCCAGTCTCCTTTTCGTCGTCGAGGACGTCGCTCGACATTGGAGACGGACGTTCCGAAAAATCTGATGCAACCGCCGAATTCCTCTGCCGAGCACCGGACGCCGAAAAAACGCTGCGAACGCGTAAAATCGGCAATACAGCGATTAGATCGCGTTTCGCTCGTGCGAGGTCCGTTAAGCTGTTGTCCTTCGCGTTTCGGATATTCCTCCGTTCGAGGTCGAAATTCTTGAAATATTTACGGGACTTCTAGGAGTTGGTATCTCGTTTCTTTAACCCTTTGCACTCGGAAGTTTTTCAGCGGAGATATTTAACATTTTTCGACGAGATATGGACGACGTTTGAAACTAATTTAACGAAGGACAGATAAATTAAGGGACAAAGCTGTTTTATTTAAATATTTCACATAGCAGTAAAGTCTAATTTAAAATACTAAGTACTCAAGTGTATAGTTCTGCTGTGTCAAAGTGGTGACCTCTCGAGGGCGAAGGATAATATATAATTTAGCTTCATCTGTTGAAGGTTCCGTTCGTTTCGAAGAATCTTCATTCAAAGGGTTAATAGATGTCAAAAAAAGTTTCCAGGCGAAAGTGCGCGCGCGCGCGAGCACGGGAAATTCCAGTGGATGCCGTTTACCTTTAAGAATTCGTGGATCGTAAGGAGGTCGCGCTCGATGACGTACACCTTCGGGCAGAGAAAGAAACACGGTGGAACCTCGGTTATCCGATTTAATTGGACGACCGGCGGGTCTCCGCTCGAGAAGAAAATCCTCGGCGGTCTACATCGCGAAAAATGGCGTCTCGGTTAGCCAAGGTCCCGTTGTGCATTCTACATTTGCATGTGTGCTCGGACGTACGCAAGGTCTTCTTCCTTTGTGTATCTGGTAGAGGTTGCAATAAAATATTAAAACTGGTAGAGGTTGCAATGAAATATTAAAAAATTCAATATCCAAATTGACGGCTTCCGCAAATCTAGTGTTAACCCTTTGCACTTGGAAGTTTTCCGCTAGCAATATTTGAACATTTTCTGACGAGGTGAAAACGATATTTTGTGAAACTCGTTATACCTTGTATAACGCGTCAAATTGAGAAATATTGAAATAAAACAGCTTTGTTCTTCAATGTACGTTATGATTTCTTCGCGAGTAATATTAAGTATCAAATTTTATAGTTTTACAGTGCCAAATTAGGTGGTGAGTGAGAGTCACCTCTCGAGTGCAAAGGGTTAATAGTATCAATAGTCGAATGAACCTTTCTAGAACACAGTAAATACGAAGCGGAAGAACGTCGAGTTCAAAGGGTTAAATGTCAAGGTCGCGGCCCACGGTTCCAAATTACGCGAGCTCCGAGCAGAGTTTGGATCGCAGATCAGAAACGAAAAGGAGGAAAAAGAAACTCGCGCTTTGTTCTATCGGGGAGCGGCGCGCGACTCATCGTACCGTGGTATCGAGCCGGCGATCGGCATACTCGCGTCGTGTCCGTAGTAAAAGTTCACCCGGTCGTTTCTGCGTCGCGACAATTCGCCGACGCGACCCGTGCTCCTTGAAACTTCGGACCGGGAAAACGTTTGCGCTCCGTTGTTCCCTGTCGCAACGCGCCGCGGTTCTTCTCGTTCGTTTCCTAATCAACCGATTGCGCGAGTCCCGACTCTGGACGGGGCTTCCGAAGCTTTTTCGCTCAGCGGACGAGTGTTTCTCTCTTTAACACCTGTGATTGGGTGGGTCCGAGTGGTTCGCATCCGAGAACCTGAAAGAGTTAGACGTGTTTTTCAAAGCAGCTACAATAAAGTCACACTGTAAAAATTGATAACATACTTCAAACAGAAGCGTTATCTGAATGTTTCATGAATCGAAACACGCAATTTAATAGTAAACTTTGAATCTTCGTTACGTTGAGCCAAGTGCAACTCTCGAGTGCAAAGTTGAAGAATTTACTCCGCGTTTTCCTAGGTCAGAGAGTCCTTTGTACAACTTCTGAATATTCTATCACTTCAGAAGCCAAACGTGACACTACATGGCCCACTCCTGAATTCTTCTTTTCGGAATGATCAAAAAGATGTAGACGTCTTTCTGAGAAATCATTAAAGAAACCGACGCAGCAGTACTCAAACTGAATACTAAATCAATGGAAGTATCAACAGATATACTGTAGTTTCTACAGAATTCCAAAAACTCAATTGAACTGCTCGGTAGTTCTATTGTTAAACTCTCATACACGCTACACGCGTAGCCAAATTAGCTCCTAACCACTTGCGCTGGCAAGGAATAGAGAAACTCGACAGGATCTCGCGCGAATTTCGTCTTCGATTACATATAGACACGTACAAATGTTTACCAATAATTTTGTACGAATCGGTAGATGTCAGAACAATCTGACAACCAACGTGCACAATATATCGGTAATTTCCGTACAAAAACATCACGACGCGCGTGTCGCGTCTCTCCAGCGCAAGCGGCTAACGCGCGCATCCAGGGATCGCCCCGACAAAATGGCCGATCCCGACATCTGCGTAGACCCGCGCTCCGCGTGCGAGAAGATGGAGCGCGGCTGGTCGCTCGGTTTCGGCGGTTCCGATTTCGCGGATGAGCCACCGAACTACCGATGATTCGTCGCCAGCGAGAGATCCGTTTATCGGGCCCTCGGACCCTGGAACCGGACCCGCCGCCGCGGAGCTGCTCGCCGCGAGGTGAAAGCGCGTGTTGCGCTGTCCCGGTGTCAGTCACGGCCGAGCCGTTGCTCGCGTTGCACGGGCACGAGGACGGGACCGAGATCGGAGTACGAGAAGGAGGAAACTTTCCTCGTCCTCTCTCTCTCTCTCTCCTCTCTGAACGGAACGTACACACGTACACGTACGTATGTGTAAACGGTCTTCTCTGCCGAGGCGTCCGCGACACGCTCGAATACTCGCCGTACGCGTCGTGGCCGGTGTCCGTTGACGCGCGAGGGACTCGCTCGCACCGAGTCTCGAAATGTCGAGGAAATGAGACAGACCTTGAAAACATTCCGACGACCGAACACACAAGGTAAGTGAGGAACGGATCTCTCGCGTTTCCCTGTTCCCCCCCGGCGAGCGAGGAACGAGTTTCCCTTTGGTCCGACGTTTCGAAAACGCCGAGCTGAAAGAAGCGTCTCCACGGACGGAACCATCGCGATTCAGCCAGTGTGGCTGGTGTTCCGGTGTCCGGGCGCATCGTTCGTTGAAACGAAACGGAACGAGCCGAAGGCAAACGAAAGGAAACGCAGCGATTTCGCTTTCTTCGTTCGCCGGACGCTGAGCGCCATGAGCCATGGTTGCTTCCCCCGCCTCTCCGACCGTCTCCTTCTCCTCCTTCTCGTCCTGTTCCCTCTCCGACCCCTCCTCCGGGTCCTCCGGGAGAGATCTAGCCTTCGGTTGTTCGGCGAATGTCGAGCAACGCCCACGCGCGCGCCTAAGCGACGACGCTTTGACCGTGAACAATGATTTCAAGTGGCGGTAAGCCTCGGCGGCGGATCGGTGTTGCTCGTGGGTCGCACGGAGAAGACCGAGGAATGGATCGGGGAACGGTCCAACGGCCGGCCGGCGCGGGAGGCCTCGCAGAGGACGCAGGGTCTCGTTCAGATGAGAGTCATCGACCTGGACGAGGACGTGGACACGCAGGAGGCGTCTTGCTACGTTCACGAAGGTCCCATGCTTCCAAGATATCTTTCGGCCTGAGAACGCTATCGCGTTGTTCCGTTGGAACGACGAACGGTGTAACGAATGAACAGAAAAGAATAAAGATCGATGATCGGTTCGAACGCCTCTAGCGATCGTTTCCTTCAGAGCTCTAGCTTTAGCTCCAGCTCTAGCTCTTCAGAGCTCTAGCTTTAGCTCTAGCTCCATCTCTTCAGAGCTCTAGCTTTAGCTCTATCTCTTCAAAGCTCTAGCTTTAGCTCTAGCTCTAGCTTTAGCTCTAGCTCTAGCTTTAGCTTTAGCTCTAGCTCTAGCTCTATCTCTTCAGAGCTCTAGCTTTAGCTCTAGCTTTAGCTCTAGCTCTAGCTCTAGCTCTAGCTTTAGCTCTAGCTCTAGCT